CCATTTTTGCCCAGGATATGTCTTAAAATACCATCCAGGAGCTAGGGCCTGGAATGGGAGCCTCAGGATTCTGCCCAGTTATTCTGTCCTACTATTGCTGAGATGTTTTGCAAGTTGCAAGACAAAGTCCTTTTTTTTTTTTTTTTTTTTCGACACAGGGTCTTGCTTTTTCACCCAGGCTAGAGTACAGTAGCATGAAATCATAGCTTACTGCCGCCTTGACTTTTGAAACTCAATCGATCCTGCCTCATCAGCCTCCCGAGTAGGTGGGACTACAAGTGTGTGCCACCACACCCAGCTAATTTTTGTATTTTTTGGTAGAGACAGGCTTTCACCATGTTGCCCAGGCTGGTCTCGAACTCCTGCGCCCAAGCAATCCTCCTGCCTCAGCCTCCCAAAGCACTGGGATTATAGGTATGAGCCACTGTGCCTGGCACAGAGTCCTCTTTACTCTTCCCTCCCCTTTACTCAAGCATAGGGAAGGAATCTGTACCAGAGTTGTGAGCTGCCTGGGGTTGGGGGCAGTGGGTGCAAACACTCCCTTGGCTGCCCTGGCTGGTCTCATAGGTCACGTTCTTCCCAAGTTCACTGACTCCGAGCCCAGCACAACACCAGGACTTGCCCAGGAATTGCAGTTCTTGTGACTTAAACCTCCTTTCAAGTTTATTTAGGTCCCCAGAACACTTTAACCTGCAGTAACAAGGCTTGCTGGAGCTCAAGTTCTGACTGCTAGGATGGGCGATTCCCTGCTCTCTAAGGCTAGTCTAAATGCTCTCTCTGTGGGGGCCAGCTGAATTCTGTCCTGTTGCTTTCCACTGTAACAGGCTAGCACTGAGTTCCAATGCAAAGTCCCTCTGTCACTGTGCTTCCTGTCTCCCAAGTGCATAGACTCTTTGTCTGCACCACAGGGTGACTGCTGGGGGATGAGGGAGGAGTGGCATCAGCATTTCAAAACTGTCTTTCCTACCTCTTCAGTGCCTTTTTCAGTGATATGAAGTTAAAACCAGGTACTGTGGTGATTCACGCAACTTTTGGTTCTTTTTTTTTTTTTTTTATACTTTAAGTTCTAGGGTACATATGCACAACGTGCAGGTTTGTTACATATGTATACATGTGCCATGTTGGTGTGCTGCACCCAGTAACTCGTCATTTACATTAGGTATATCTCCTAATGCTATCCCTCCCCCCTCCCCCCTCCCCACAATAGGACCCGGTGTGTGATGTTCCCCTTCCTATGTCCAAGTGATCTCATTGTTCAATTTCAACATGCAGTATTTTTAAGGTATGTTTTTATGTGGATAGTTGTTCAATTTGGTGTTCTTGTATGGAGGACATCTGTGAAGGCTTCCATTTGGCTATCTTGCTCTGCATCAGTTTTTGCATTTTCAAATAGGGCTAATACTAATTGACAGCATTGTTGAGAGGATTAAATAGGATCATGTACATGAAAGTATTTTGTAACCTATGAAGTTATTGGGTTTTTTTCTTTTTAGAGATGGAGGTCTCACTCTCTTGCCTGGGCTGGAGCACAGTGGTGTAAGCTCACTGCAGTCTAGAACGCGGAAACTTAAGCAGTCCTCCCACCTAAGCCTCCTGAGTAGCTAGGACTACAGGTGCACGCCACCATTGCCAGCTAATTATTTATTTTTTATAGAAACTAGGTCTTGCTTTGTTACCCAGGCTGATCTCAGATTCCTGGCTTCAAGTGAACCTCCTGCCTTGACCTCCCAAAGTGCTGGGATTACAAGCATGAACCACCATCCCTGGTCTGGATATTGTTAAAATTAATGTAAAGAAGAAGTTTTCCCTGTAGGACATGAATTTATTAAATATCTAATGAGTGTACTTCTGTAAAAGTAGCATGTTACATGATAAGGATAAAGCAGTGAGGAGATAGGCGATCACCTCTCTCATGAAGTTAATACTCTGCTTCTGTACTGTTCAATACAATAGCTTCTAGCCACCGTGTTGGACAGTGCAAATATAGAACATTTCTATCACTTCAGGAAATTCCCTTGTAAAGCTTTGCACAGAAGAAGCACACATTAAACAGTTAGTTCAGTAAGTATTTTTAATTCTCTTGTGATGAGTGCTTTGAAGAAATAATCAAATCAGAGAAAGTAATGTTTGTGCTAAGAGCCGAGGGATAAATAGTAATGTTCTAGGTAATGTGGAAGTGGAGGAAGCATTTCAGAAGGAAAAGATAAAGAACATTTGCAGAAAGACCTGAGACAGGAAGAAGAGAGAGCTTGAGATCCAGAAAGAACTCATGCATACATCCTGTGTGGTGAAATTAGTCCTGCCTGGAAGGAATGACTGTAATAAGAGGAACAAAGAAGAAGATGGGTGAAATGCAGATAAGCTTGTAGATTTTATGGCCGAAAGTGAAAATTTTCTTGTTCCAATAACTTCTATTTTCTCTTTGAAATGTAGGATCATCTTATGAAAGCAAGAGAGAGAAAGGAAAGGGTGGAGTTTTGAAGAGAGTGGGGAATGTATGAAGCAAATCTTTGTGGACAGTGGGAGAATGAACACCCTAGAGAGATTTAGTAAGATCTTGAATCAGTAGTCCTACCAGTATTTTGCATGGTCTGACTGCCCCCACCACCCCTACACCCGCCAGATTCAGAAATGGAAAAGTCTGGCAGTTGTTTTCATTAATCTAGCTAAAGAAATTAATGCCTGCAAAACATTGAGAATGGCGCCTGGCCCATAGTAAGAGCTAAACAAGCATTATTACCACTGCTGGGGTTTGTCTAAGAGGAGTGAAAAACAGAACAACAGAGAGGAAATGTAGGACATTTGCAAGAAAATGATTATAATGATGTACTGTGAAATCTACCACAGATAAAAATTTAAGGCAACGGGGATGATATATAGGGGAAAAGTGGGGAGATCTGGTGAGCATCTGTTAGTGGATTCTCAAGCAAATAAGTGGAAAGCAGAGGAGGCTTGCTCCAAGAGTGAGGTGCATGAAACCAGGTAGGGGCCAGAAAGAAGTAATGCACACAGTGATCTGAATGAAGACTCTTATAGTCTAGGTATAATGTGGTATTTCTTGGTGGAAAGCAAATAAGTGTTCTCGTCTAAGTAAATGATATGAGCAGTAGCAGACAATCCCCAAACTGCCTGTAAACAAACATTTGGAAGTTCAGCTTTCTGAGAGTTTATAAAGCTAATAATATCCAAACCTATTTGAAGTTTTAAATCAAAGTATAAAAACCTGCTCAGGTTCTTATACTCATTTTCTCTGCTATCATCCTCTCACCTTCTCCCGATTCCTAATTCTGTTCCGATTTAAGAATCTTATAGAAACTAAAGGCATCAATTGGTCTAGCTAAACCTGTAGATTGATAATATTATCCTTTAGTTCTGTTTTGTGCCATGAAGAGTGGATTGGTGGTCATGAATATAAAATAACACCAGCTTTATTGGTTGTCTGCTTTTTTCTCCCCTCAGGTGCTCTGTGAAGCATTTTCAAATACAATACTCAAAGTAACTTGTGTTTCAAGATATTTTGGGAAATGAAGCATTATAGTCTAATTCATTAATGTCATTCTTTCCTTTCATTTGGTATTAAAGGCTTCAGCGATTAGCCAAAGATCTTCTAAAACAACTGCAAGTACAAGACAGTGGCTCATGGGCGAACAATAAAGTGTCTGCTTTGGATCGGACCCTAGGAGAGATCACTAGAATACTGGAAAAAGAGGTGTGTAACTAATCTCTGGTTTTTTAACCTTAATCTTTGTGATCCTTTCTCACTATGACAGTACATAGAGCTATAAGGCAGATTCAGTATATGCCTTTCTTCTGTTTTTTAAAGCTAGTTAATAATAGATGTACTTTTTTTTTTAACTTTTGTTCTTTTCAGTTGTTTAAATGAAGTTATTTTCAGGTTTTTTAAATTGAAGTCCTCTTTAGATCATGGTTTCCTCAGTCATATTTTCCCCACACAAACAAACTGAAATTATTTTGTCAGGAATCACAATAATAAAGATGTATGACTCTATAGCAGAAAATAGAAAACTTTGAATTATAAAGCCTAATAAATCACAACCAAATTTCTACAAACACCAATATCCCCTGATTCCAACAGATTTGGCAGTTTTCTTTAATGACTTAGAATCATTAAATATCTCAATTATAGTTTAAATATCCTCAGTGATTTTTAAAGTATTTATTATTCACTATAGGAAAATGTTAAATGTACAAAGAAGAAATAAAACTTCCTGTAATATCAACTGATAACATTTTATGGTATCTTCTTCTAAACATTTTACTGGACTTTTTTACATTGTTTTATCATAAATACTTTATCGTGTCTTTAAAAACCTTTAATGGAATGAACATATCACATTTTACATAAAGTATAATATTTAGGTGGTTTCTAATTTTCTATTTAAAGTAATGGCTATTTTCATTTATTAGCTGTAGTTTTTGGTTTTTTGTTTTGTTTTCTAGGTTTAAAGGTTATTATGTTATATTTGATATATACAAAAGAAATTGTAATAAAAATAATATAAATACAGTGAACAGCTGTGAACTCACCACCCAATTTAGGAGTAAGATTGTTACCACTACATTTGTGGTTCTCAGTATGATCCTTTCTCACCCCATTCCTGATTCCTTTAAAGGGAATACTGTACAGAATTAAAGGTGTATCATTGTTTTTTAGAAATAGCTTTATTGCTTTATCACGTAAATGTATTGTCAAATAACGTTAGTTAGTTTTGACCTTCATAAAATATTGTACGATAGACTTCTGCAATTATTTTTTCAGTCAAAATTATGGTTCTAAGTTTTTAGCCTTATAGCTGTTTTTCATTGCTTTTCTCTGCTGTAGAGTAAGTCCTTCGTTGTATTAATACTACAGTTTTTAAATCTGTTCTGACAATGGACGTTTCAGAGAGAGATTGTGTGTATGTATGTGAGAGAGAGAGAGAGAGTGCACGCAAGCATGGGCAAACAGTGCTACTCAAACATTCTTGTATCAGAGTAAATAAACAAGAATTTCTTTAAAGTTGGGGGTCTCAGTCTTTCGTCTGCATCAGAATTGCCTAGAGAACTTGTTAAAACACAGATTGCTGCCCCCGGCTCCTGCCCCAGATTTCTGATTAAGTAGGTTTAGGGTGAGTCTGGAGAATTTGTATTCCTAAGAAGTTCCTAAGTGATATTGATGCTGCTAGTCCAAGGACCATATTTTGAGAATCACTGCTCTAGTCTAGGGCATATGTCTCAATGGTGGAATTGTGGGGTTCTCAGGCATATGAATGTCCAACTTTATAAGGTAGTGCTCAACTACATTTTGGCATCAGATAGTACAGTCATCTGAAGAAACCGAAAGCAGCCTATTCACTGAATAGGACAGAGCTGTAAAGTCAGTTCTTGTGTGTAACACATCCCTTTCAGGATACCAGAGGTTCAGAAACTGGTAGTTGTCACACATTTGCTAGAATGCAGTATTTAAAGATTCAATGTGCTTTGGGAAAAATCTCTGATCTTTTTTAAAATTATTATATACTGATTATTTTTGTAAAGGATAGAGTACTTTGAATTAAAAGGCAATTGCTTGAAGACACTGCTACACGTATCTTATCTCATGAATATTGTTTTAGGTTAAAGTAATAGAACTTTTGAGGAAAAGGCAAAATGATCTATATAAGAAAGGTATTCAGTATCAAAATTCACCTAAAGTTATTTCCTTCACAAAGGGGCAATTTACTGAAATACCTCTGGTTTCTTATAATTTGGGGGAGAAAAATGTTGTCTGGCTCCCAGTCTAAATGGTCTGTGTCAGGAACCTTGCTGTAAAGCTGTCCTCAGAGTATACACTGCAGGACCACCTAAGAGTTTAGACTTACCTACAATAAGATCCTTTTGCTCCTTTTAAACTGAAATCCTTTTTACCTAGCCAAGACACACTCACTTTATGAAGACTTCTGTAGAGTAATACTGACATTTCAGTATAATTCAGCTGATGATATTTATGATTTCAGTCTAGGAATTGTAACTAGCCATTCCTTTTTGTTTGGAAAACTGCCTGGAGTAACAAACTCATTAGAGCCAAAGCCAGGTACCCAGTGAAGGATATTTGAAGACAGTCTAGAAGAGACAAGGTCAGACAGTAGAACTTGGGCAAGTGTAAGCACTAATGGAGGAATGGTGAGAGATGAATCTTGAGGTCTTTATTTGCTTAATTTAGACCTCAAAACATGGATGCTTTCTACTATCGCTTGACACAGTGCTTCTTTAGATAATTTTTCTAAAGTTCGGAGAACTACTTTAGACCTAATGGATTAAACTTGTGATGTATAGAAATGCTCTTGTCATGGAAGGGGTCAGGAAACTGAGGAGACCTGGGTTTTGTAGTACTTACTATGCATTTCAGGTTCCTACTGTTTTTTTGGGTTTTCTGATTTCATTCAGAAGTTAAAAGTGTGTAAGCTTTATTTATGTGTTATGCTTTTAAAAATATCTTAAGCCGCTTCTGTTTACTAACATACTTTGGTCTAGGGTACTGGTACCAACTCTTCCGACAAAAATATCTGAAAATTCTGGGTGGGGAAGAAAGCAGTTTTCTTAAAAGCATCAAATAGTTAAGAAGAAATTAAAGAATTCCCAGTCCAAGGAAAAAGCAAGAATTTAGAAAGTTGTGCTTATAACTTAATTGCCCCAAAAAACATGTGCCAGATTGGCAAATGTGGGTTGTGGTTTACAGGCGTCATCGTGTAAGGTGATGAAAGTAAAAGTATAAGGGCTGCCTAAGTATGAGGTCTAATAGGAGATTTTTCCGATTTTCCTTTCATGAAGACAAGACCACATCAGCCTACTCCATCACATAATGATGAACCTTTGCATCCCACTCTCAGGACTATGAAGAAAGCACTTTGGCACAATGCAGAATTTATACTCATAGTCCAACCCCTGGCATAGATTTGCTGCTCAAATTCACATCACCTGTACTATTTCAGATGGTGAATTGAGTTTAAAGTTGTCCTAGGTTGACTTGTGGTGTCTTTAGGAATCAATTAGAAGAGAATACAAATCCTCATTGGAAGAAGACACCTTCATTCTAGGCCTCAGATACTTTCTGTTAAACAATTTTACAAGGACAAGTAGCCATAGTGAAAAGATAAGCCCAAAAGTAAGTAAGTCGTGATGAGTAAGCAGAAACTAGAACTGCAAGGCTCTGTTATTACTAGTCACAGATTACAAAACTATGCTTGCTATCTTCTGAGGAAGTAAAAGGCAAGCTTGAAAATTTCTATAGGAATGGACTTAGCAGTAGTGACAGTAGGTAATTCAGAACTGTCCTTCCACTGATGACAATAAAACTAGATAAAATATGAAATAAAACTGAACTGCAAACAGGGTAATGAATAATTACTGGACCAAGATCCAGAAATTTGACATTTTTGGACTAGGTACCATTGATGATCCAAAAGAAGTGGACATGAGTTTGATTAGTTCTTTTGAGACTGTTTGCAGGACTGATGAGAAAAAAAAATATTGGCATCTAGGACAATCAATGGTAGGGACTATGGCAAAAAAAAACTCATGTTTTGGTTTGGGATCTTAAAGGACTGTACAAGGAAAAAGGGTGGACAGGAAGTACACCAGTCATTACACAGACAACTCAGTTCAAATCATGTAGGTGGCTGGGGAAATCCAAATCACTGAAAAAAGATTAAAATGATTCTAAATTGCTAATACCCCAGGTGGCTAACAGAAGCAATTGGAAAATTTATTTTGGAGAAAGATAATAGCAACCTAAGTCTCAAATTATCTCAACAAAATATATTTCAAATGTAGTGTTTGGCAGAGTAAGGTAATTAAGCATACAAAGGGACAAGACAACATGCATAAAAACCAATAGAAACAGACCTGCAGAGGCTCCAGAACTATGCTTATCATGATCAAAGATATAAATATTAATTGTTTTAAAAGATATATAGCACATTTGAGAAAAAATTGGAATTTGAGAACTGAACATTTTAGTAATAAAAGTTACAAAAATTATAGATGAGGTAACAGTAGAATAACCAAGCACTGGAAGATAGATCATAAGAAAGAATCCAGACTGAGCATGGAGAGAAAAAGATATGGAAAATAAAGAGAAGAGTATAAGAAGGATGTAATATATGGTGAAAATGTCTAATTTCTGTATAATTAGAGCTCCAAAAGGAAAAGAGAGAAGAAAATAGGGCAGAAACAGTATTTGAAGTGATCATCATTTAGAACTTTCCAAAACTTACAAATCAATTTACAGATTCAAGAAGCCCAATTATGCCCAAGCAGGGTAAATAAAAAGAAATCCACATTCGCAATTGTCACAGTGAAACTAAAGAAAGTAAAATTGTAAACCAATCTCAATCATAAATGTGGAGTCAGAATTTCTAAACAAAATTTTAGCAAACTGAATCATGCAATATCTAATAAGGATAATATATCACAACAAAGTTGGATTTATTCAAGATACTTGAGTTTGCTTTAACATTGGAAAATTATGATATATTAACAGAAGAAAAGAAAAAATATCATCTCAAAAGACACAGCAAAAGCGTTTGGTAAGTTCAGCATCAATTAATGGTAAAGATTCATAGTAAACCAGGAATAGAATGGAATTTCCTTAATCTGACTAATTGAATCTATTATAGCAAAATAATATTTACTGGTGAAATGTTGAAAAATTTCCCTTTGAAATTGTGT